GATGATTCTCTCTCATCGATGTTTCTAATTCTCTATCCCTCTCTCTTCCTCTCTGTAAAAAATCAATAAAATATATTTTTAAAAAATCAAGCAGTGATTGCATAAATAAGTGGAACAACAAATCTCTCTACCCCTTCCTCCAATAGTAATAAATCAAATTTAAAAAAAAAAATTCTGAGGAACAAGGCCATGTTTCTCAGTGATTAGAAGGAAAAGCAAAGCAAAACAATAAAAAAGACCAAAAACCCTCCACTAAGGAGAATAAAAGCTACAGTTGTGATATATAAACCTCCATCCCTGCTTTCAAGATCTTGTTTTTAAGATGCAACAAAGAAGTTGGACATTCATTTGAAAACACGGACAGCGTTGGTAGGACCTGAGTAAATTACGACAGATGGATGGGACACAGAAGATATATTATATGTAAAAGATAGCAAACTAAGATTCCAGTTTCAGTTTGAATTTCATTCAGTCTTCTCTCTTTCGCCTCATAGCTTTAGAAATCAGTCAGTTCTCTAAACATATCCTTATAACCAAAGTATATTTTTTAGTCTTGACAAAAATGAAGAGCAATAAAGAGTAAAATAGAGCCCAGCTGGTGTGGCTCCACGGTTACGTATAGCCCTATGTACCCAGAGGTCACGGTTTGATTCCCGGTCAGGTTCGATCCCCAGTGTGGGGTGTGCAGGAGGCAGCTGATCAGTGATTCTCTCTCATCACTGATGTTTCTCTCTCTCCCCCTCTCCCTTCCTCTCTGAAATCAATTAAAACATATTTTTAAAAATAGTAAAATAGAGTGTATGTGGTGAAATAGTATCTATTCTTTATGGTGTTTATTCATGGCACACGGCAACAGTGTTTGCCAGGAAAGTGAACTGGCACTTGTCAGAGACTCGAAACGAGAGACTGCAGAGCGGGTACATTAACCTTTGCTAGGCTGTGTTGCATAACACTAGCCTTGTGTGATGCTTTGTACAAGAAAGGGATCCCAGTTAAACTGGTTTGAGGAACAATGCAAACCACAGCCTGCCCTGGGATGGTCATAACCCACGAGTTCATTCAAGGCTCTGAGGATGCTGCATATAGAGAGCATGTTCAACATGAAGCTTGGGGCCCTTTTTAAAAACACACTCAGATTCAACAGAAACCCATGTTGGAGAACATGTGTACCCATCTGAGAATATGGAGACAAGAGAACATCAAAGACAAAATCTGAATAATAAGCCAAAGTAATGTCCCTCATCTTTTGTGAATTTGTATTTAAAAATATGCGTATTTAAAAAAAAAGTATGAAAAGATGCTTCTGCATAAGTTCATAAGGTCACGCAAGAGCCACAAACGATAGGCCACAGCGGTTATGTGGAGAGTATTGTCCTTTCTATGCTATGTCCGTACTAAATCTAGAAACTGACAAACAAAAACCTCAAAGCAGCAATTTTACTGACAATGTTTAGAAATATTGCATCCTTTTTTAATGTAAAAATGTAATTCCTAAAGAGAACAGGTAATAAATCTTTACCTTGCTTCTTAGCAACTCAAATCGTCCTTAGAACATGGATCGAGTGGGAGGGATGCCATGCAATTCAGTGATAGCTTTAGGTGGCATAACTCAGCTAAATCAAAATGGAAAGAAAAGCTTAAAAATATTTTTATTGATTTTAGAGAGAGGAAGGGAGGATAGAGAGACAGAAACATCGATGAGAGAGCAACATGATCAGCTGCCTCCTGTATGCCTCCTACTGGGGATCGAGCCCACAACCCAGGCATGTGCCCTGACCCGAATGGAACCTTGACCTCCTGGATGATACTCAACCACTGAACCAGACCAGCCGGGCAAGAAAAACTTGTCCTATATATGTAAATCTGTAAATGCAAATTATATTAAAATAATTATGGCATAGAAACACTAATTCTCTTCCAAGTAAATCCATAAAGTAATAGAAAAACTGGATTGCAGACTCAATATTAGATAATATCTCATCTTATTTCTTCTTTTACCCAAACTAAAATCCTCTACTAAAGAAAAAAATCCTTGTCATCTTGCTTTTGCCTAAACACTTCTAAGGATCTGTTTACAGGTTCAGTCAGCACCACAAAGCCCAGAGAGAAAGATTCCCTGGAGAGTCAAACCTATTATGAGAGTGAGAGCAGCTATCTGCAGAAGTCTCCCATCTTAAAGGAGAGTTTATGACGATAGTTAATAGAAATTGGCTGCTTCATAAAAAAAAAATCAATGCCTAAAGAAGAGGACTTTACTGAAATCGGGTCCAGTTCATCTCGGTACATCTTTGGGATTAAAAAGACTCTAAAAAGGACATTACCTATAGTATGGAGAAGTACTATTTTGCTTTGAACTTAGAAATACAGGAGCACGGCTCAGTGGTTGAGCATCAACCTATGAAGCAGGAGATCCCGGTTTGATCTTGGTCAGGGCACCTGCACAGGTTGTGGGCTCGATTCCTAGTGTGGGGTGTGCGGGAGGCAGCTGATCAATGATTCTCTCTCATCACTGATGTTTCTCTCTCTCTCCCTTCCTCTCTGAAATTAACAAAAATATTTTTTTTAAAAAATACAGGAGAATGGCTAAGAATTTTTTACTTTTTATCCAGGAGGAGCCAGGGAGAGACATGCCGTTAGACATCCCATTGTCACCCCTGGAAAAAAAAGAATCAGAGGCACCAGACTTTTCCAGAGTAGAGGATGACTGTCACCACCACCCAATGGTTTTTGATCACTTGTCCTGATTACTAATGTGACTTCATAGTTACCTTGATTCTAGAGAGGAAGAATCCTTGATAGTGGAAATGAGGACTCTCAGAAATGGCTGGAATGGTACATTCCTTGGTTAAATTTACTAAATGGCATTAGGGCTTATACTTTTTTTGTGGGGGTCAGTGAACTCTGGTTAGCAAAAGTCATTTCCTGATTGGCTGATCAACCCTAGGTACACTTATAAACAAGGGTTTCTGAATGCAGCTCAGAATTAGACTCGGGACTTTGGTAATCACTCTGAGAAACTAGCCAACTTTCCTTGGTGACATTTATTTCATTCTACGTTTAAAGCAGACTGCTTTCTACATTGTTAAAATTTTTTTTATTACATTGAATTGAATGTCTGAACGCTAGCAGTTATGTTTTTTTCAACTTCATGAGTAGTTCAAGCTCCTTCTTCTATTATAGTATTTGGTCAGTCTAACTAAAGATCTGTCAAAACTAAAATTTTTGGTTTTGTTGTTTTATTCCCTATTATTTTTATATTCTCTATTTAATTGGTTTCTGCTCTAATCTTTATTATTTATTTTATTTTTCTGCTTGCTTTGGGTTAGTTTGTTGTTGTTTTTTAGCAGTGTCTTAAGGCAGACGATTAGACTATTGATATGAGATCTTCCATCTCTTCTATCACATTTCCCTCTAAGATGGCTTTCACTACCTCCCATAAGTTTTGCTATGTGTGTCTTCTTTTCCAAATGTCTGATTTACCTGTGATTTCTTTTTTGACCACTGGTTACTCAGGAGTGTGTCACTTAATTCCCATCTATCTGTGCAACCCCGAAATTGCTTTCTGTTCTTCTTTCCTAATTTCACTCCATTATTGTCAGAGAATATACTTTGTAAGATTTCAATCTTTTTAAATTTACTGAGGCTTGTTTTATGACCCACCAACAGAGTTTCTCTAAACTCTTGCAAACACTAGTTGTTATTAAGATTTTAAAGTTCCCCACATTTATACAAAAAAAAAAATCTTTTCATTATTTTGATCTGAATAACACTGTAATTTGTATTTTTTGAAAATGTGAAACAAAAAAACCTCTAAAATCACCTAAATCTGAACCTTTGTTGTGAGGTAATTCTTTGATATTTTCTTTTTAAAATATATTTTATTGATTTTTTACAGAGAGGAAGGGAGAAAGATAGAAAGTTAGAAGCATCGATGAGAGAGGAACATCAATCACCTCCTCCTGCACATCCCCCACTGGGGATGTGCCCACAACCAAGGTACATGCCCTTGACTGGAATCGAACCCGGGACCCTTGAGTCTGCAGGCTGACGCTCTATCCATTGAGCCAAACCGGTTTTGGCTGGTATTTTCTTAATTCCTCCTTTGAATATTGGTGTATTTATATCAAAATCTCTCCTGGGGTTAAGCTAGGCAATGTTTTTCTTAAACCCACCCACTTAATTAACATTTTAAAATTTATTTGCATAATCTGCATATTTTTACAAAATGTTCTTTTATAGTTATTTCAATTTCTTCTCTCTCTTCTTTTCTAAACAATTTTTAAAAAATTTTTAAATTTTTAAAAAAAACCCAGCTATGTCCCTTGCCTTCCATTTTTCCACTTCCACCTGTTCCACTCGCCCAGCTGTGCTCATCTCCAGGTAAATAATGGTCCACACACATCCTGCTCCAGGTGAGCAAATATATCCCTAGCACATAACCTTTTCCCTCCTTTCCGAATCTCCCTATGTCCTTCTCACTTTTCCAAACTACATTCTTCCTCCCTCTTCCTGGCGTGGCTCAGTGGTTGAGCACTGAGCTATAGACAAGCAGGTCATGGGTTTGATTCCAGTTCAGGGCATATGCCTGCATTGTGGGCTCAATCCCCAGTGTGTAGTGTGCAGGAGGTAGCTGATCAAATCATTGATGTTTCTATCTCTTTCTCCCTCTCTGAAAAAAAAACCCACACACACACACAAAACCCCCCCAGCAATAAAACATGTATAAAAAAGTATTCAAAGACCATTAAATATAGGCAGATGAGTATGTGTTTGAAAGATAAATATTCAATAAAATACAGATCCTTGACCTCTAGGAGGTCCCCAACTCTTCTGTTTTGAGAAGAATGGTTGCCAAAAATATCCACTCTCCTTCCATCCATGCCTCCCATGGACAGGCACAGTCACCTGAGGACAGAGCCAGCGGTGCCTATCGCTGTTTCACTGAAGGCGTCTCAGGGCGCTTCAACCTTCCGAGGAGGTCTGTCTCAAGATCGCCTTACCTTACGGACGTGACAGGAGAAGAGGACGTTCATGTACTTGTCCTTCCGTTTCAGTTCATTGGCAACGGGGACGAAAGTGCCTGAGGTCTGAGGTGTGTCTGGCTTCTGAAAGAGACAGGCAGTGTGATCAATGATGATGCTTAGCATTTCAGGTGAAAAAGTGAGCTCTCAGCGCATGGCTTTATTACTAAGCTCATGACGTTGTGCACGCTTTACATTTTACCTCCCCCATCCCAGGGGCTAAGCTACTAAAGGGCTGTTTTTAACAACAAAGGTCTTATCGTAGTAAAAACTTAAAATAAGGGATCGGAGAGAGGATGAAACAGGGCTTTGGGAATAACTGATATAAAGATGATGGCTAAAAATAGTTGCTGAGTTATGCAAGGGAAGGTTTAAATGGTCAGAGCCATGGTAGAGTGTGTACCTAATACACACAGACAGAAGACAGAACACCCTTTTTAACGTGGGGAAAACATCAGCTGTTGTACACTTGGAAGCAATAAAACTTTTAGTTTAGTGTTGCTCATAGGATTTCGTTTCTGAAGGTGTCAATTTTTCTATAAATTCTTGGAGAAAAATTATTCTCCTTTTTTTTGTTTTTTTGTTTTGTTTTGTTAAAGGAGCCGGAGAGAACCCACTTAGTTCTCCTGCACTTACCGAAGCAAGATAGTTGCCTTCCCAGGCCCTTTGGAGCCCAAGGTCAGCCCTTTGACCCTTCAGCATCTCCATGGCCGCAACCTTTGCCCTGACCTGGGGCAGGTCTGAAGCGGGGATGGTCTTGATGAGCTGAGCCGCTCGCCATCTATGAGTAAATAAACACAATGTGTTCGACTGCAGAAACACAAGACCATTCATTCTCAAACAAGAAGCTGCCATCAAGTAGAATGAACCCAGACTGCTTGTATGCTACTCCAAAAACAGTAATATATATATATATATATATATATATATATATATATATATATACACACACACACACTATTTTGCCTTTGGACTAGATTAATACAACTGGGGAGAGAGAGAGAGAGAGAGACAGAGAGAGAGAGAAAGAGAGAGAGAGAAAGAGAGAGGGAGTAGGAGGGAGGGAAAGGAGAGAAACAAGTCAATAAACTGAGCAGGTGCAGTCTTTTCAAAATGCTCATTGACTGCAAGCCCTAAGATGCCTGGGACCGTCTTTTGCATCTTGGCTGCTTGCCACCATATACCTGGAACCTAAGTCAATGCCTGTGGGACAGCAGTGCTGAGTATATATTGCTACTAAATTTTACAAAAATTAATCAACTGCAGGCCACACATAAAACCTCAAAATCTAAGGAAGACTGTAGCGGCCACAGAGCAACATAATTGAAAATAATAATTCTTTGCATCCATTAAAAATATTACTTAGATCTTTATTTGTTGTCATGCACAGGTCTTCAAGACTTATTTCTAAGTCACATAACCATAATTATAATCTCGCTTGTGTAAAAGAGAAAAAAATTCCAAATTATATGTGACTCTAGATACATATGCACTCATAGTAAGAAATGCTTTATATATGTATTTACTCATAATTCTTTCATCAACCCTATGAGCAGTTACTATTGTTACAATCCTTTTACGGATAAGGAAGCTGAGTCACAGAGAGGTTAACTAATTTTCCCAAGATTACACAGCTATTCAATGGCAGAGCTAGAATATGACCCAGGCTTCAGGGTTTGTGTTCCTAACCATTACCTCATGCTGTCTCTTACAAGTGTGTGTTTGTAAATGCAAGGACAAAGGTTTAAAAGGATATAAACTAATTGTTAATGAGTGGTTATTTCAGGGGAAAGAAATAAAATGGGGAGAGACAAGAGGAAGTGTGGAGGATTTCAACTTTATATCCTATATGTTTTTTATGTTATTTCACTTTAAAAAATGAGCATATGTTCATGTATCACTTAATAACGTTTTAGATTATGTAAAAAATGCAGGTTGCAGAGAGTACAATTCATGAAAAAACACTTATGTGTGCATTAAAAAGGCTGCCAAGACTACAATGAACATCGATAGTATTACACCTGAGAATTTAGGTATTTTTGCTTTCAATAAATCTGCACTGTTTGATTTTATTTTCCTTTTTATGAGCACTCATTCTTCTGCTTTGAAAGCAAATGAGATATGTAATATAAAAATTTCTTCCCGTGCATTTTTTTTAATCACCTGACATCTGCCACCAATTTACATCCAACCTCTCAATGACTTTGGTGTTCCATGTGGACCAGTATGCCACCAAATGACCACATTCGAGGGCCATTAGCTTAGCGTATGGGACTAGACAGCTGCACCTAAGACAAAGCTAAATGTATCTGGCGCACACTGGCAACAAATAAGCTCAAACATTCAGGAGCAAGGAGTAATAAGTAACTAAACACTCAGATTCAAGGCAGTTTATAAAATAAAAAAAAAAATGAAGAATGGGTGGAAAGGTATCACATAGATGCTTGTTTATTTAAAAAATACTGCGTGCTCTAAAACAGTTATTTCCTCCCTTATAATTTAAAATCTCCTGGGAAGCCGAAGCCGGTTTGGCTCAGTGGATAGAGCGTTGGTCTGCGGACTGAAAGGTCCCAGGTTCGATTCCGGTCAAGGGTATGTACCTTGGTTGTGGGCACAGCCCCAGTAGGGGGTGTGCAAGAGGCAGCTGGTCGATGTTTCTCTCTCATCGATGTTTCTAGCTCTCTATCTCTCTCTCCCTTCCTCTCTGTAAAAAAAAATCAATAAAATATATTTTTAAAAAAATCTCCTGGGAAACTTTAAAAAGGACCTCTGTTTGGGCCCCCACTCCCCAGCTCCATCAGACAGGTATTTCTGGAGGTGAGGCTTGGGCAGTGGCATGTATCATAAACTCCTCGTGAGTTTAAGGTAAGCAGGACAGACAACCACTGCTCAGAAAGGATCTCAGTGCGAGTTATTTGCGGTGATTTTAATAGCTATTTTTTGCTACTAGAAGAAAGTAGAGTCTGCATGCCAATAACACCTTCAATATGGCTTGATCCAGGGGAGGCAGCATGCTGCTGTCTATATGGCTACAGGGAAGAAAAAAAAAAAAATCAATGGACAGTTCTGCTATTTTGAGAGGGGAACAGATGCCTTGTGAAATCGAAGTCTACAAAACTGGAGACATGTTCGAACGGCAAGGAGCTGAGCCAGTCTCCTGGTCGAAGAACTGTGATTTCGAGTTAAGTGTGCTGCCATCAACGGAGGCAGCACATGCGAACAAGTTCTTACCTATTAAAAATGGCCTGGAGGTGCTCCTCGAAGCGGCGAAGAACTTTGGGAGGGGTTGGCCACTTGACGTGCTTCCCGTGGTCTCTCATGGTCTTGACGCCGTGGAAGCGCCGGGCCACCTCGCGGATGTAGGACTTCACCTTGTAGTGCCGGTAGTATCTGATGATGGTCAGGGCTGCCTTGGTCCTCTTGTACCGCATGCGGGCCAGCGTGCCTCGCCACACCTTCCCGACAGAGGAGAGAACAAGAAAAGTGATGCTGGCTGCCCGAGTTGTAGATTTCACTTTGAAACCATAGACCCTCCTCTGCTTATAAACTCAACTGGAGAACTTGCAGGAGCCACCCTTATCTGCCAGAGCCAAAGCATGTCAATTCTGTCAGCCACCAACAGGTGGCGGTGGGGAGTCGGGCCGTCATTTTGGTCCAGCTGTCTACCTGGGCAATGCTGTCTACACTGGAGAGCGTGCTGAGTTTGAAGCAGAGTCATGATTTAACGTTATGGTCACAAAAAGAAGAACAACGACGAACTACAAATATCTTGGGATAAATGTTTTTAAGAATGATGAAAGGGAACAAGATGAATCAGAAAACCAAAAGCCATCAACATCTGTAGTTCTCACACAGAGCATGTACACAGGCCCCGAGGGCAATACCACACTGCATTTACAAACTGACTCACACGCAGCCTGGGCATCCCCCCTGCAGGTGCTGTGTAAACGCCCTAGGATTTAGATGTATTCCTGCAGGAAGGGCAAAACAGATTACCCATCTCTCATCAGTGATGTTTCTCTCTTTCTCCCCCTCTCCCTTCCTCTCTGAAATCAATAAAAATATATTTAGAAAACAAAAAACAAAACAGATGACCAATACTATATGAATCGTTAAAATCTTTTTAGTGCTCAGAAGTCAGACAATATATAAACGTCTCATTGCCAACTTTTTAATTTTTAGATAGAGAGGAAGGGGGAAAGGGGGAAGAGGAATATATATATATATATATATATATATATATAGAGAGAGAGAGAGAGAGAGAGAGAGAGAGAGAGAGAAAGAGAGAGAGAGAGACAGAGAGAGACAGAGAGAGACATTGATTGGTTCTCCTATTAATTATGCATCATTGCTTGATTCTTGTGTGTGCCCTGACTGGAGAACAAACCCACAACCTTGGCATATGGGGAGGATGCTCTAACCAGCTGAGTTACCTGGCCAGGGCTCAATGCCAGCTTTATTTAAACAGGGGGAAGTTGGATATATATATTTGTGGCTCAGTGCACAGGAGGGGGTGTTCCTAAACCTGGCCTGCACCCTATCCAATCTGGGACATTCCTCTTGCTAGCCAAGACTGTTGGCTCCAAACCACTCACCTGCCTGCCTGCCTGATTACCCCTAACCATTCTGCCTGCTTGCCTGCTCACCCCCAACTGTCCCCACCCCCCTGTCAGCCTGATTGCCTCCAACTGCCCTCCCCTGCTGGCCTGATTGCCCCTAACCACCTCTGCCTCGCCACCATGGCTTTGTCCAGAAGGTCTACCAGTCTAATTAGCATATTACTCTTTTATTAGTGTGTATATATATATATATTTAAAAATATATTTTTATTGATTTCAGAGAGAGGAAGGGAAAGGGAGACAGGAATAGAAACATCAAAGATGAGAGAGGGTCACTGATCAGCTGTCTCTGGCACACCCCCTAGAGGAGATCAAGCTCACAATCTGAGAATGTGCCATGATTGGCAATTGAACTGTGATCTGGTTCATGGGTCAATGATTCAACACTGAGCCACACTTACATATTTTTTAGGTTCCCATACATCTCAGTCTCTCAAGCAAAGAGAAAGCAGTGTAATCTTCATCAATGGCTCTCTCCCTATATATGCTCTCCACCACATCCCAAGTCTTGCTTCCACAGTATTTCCAATAAAAACCCTTCTTCTCCTTTCTGCTACTACAATCCACAATCCTCAAACAACTCTAACTGCTTTCTATGATAATAAGCTCCTTATATACACTACCATCATGCTCCAGTTATTTACTGCTGCTTCTTAAATGACCATCTCAATGCTCAGGCTGAGGGTATTATTTCCCTGACTGCCTCTGGCCTCTTAAGACCAAGATTTGCAACCTCTAGTTCTAAGCCCACCAAATGGTTCCCCAGATTCCTTCAGGTTTCTTTTATTTCTTCTCAAATCTCCAACTGCGCCCACCAGTTTATCTCAGAAAAAATCGTGCAATGCCTCTTTTATTCAGTCATCTTGAGCCTCTTGGTGGAGACTCCTAAATTGGCACCATGTGTTTGCAAAGTTCTCCCTTTTCAGCCTGCTGCACAATAGATCTGTTTGCATACCACACGCGAGGAGGTCATCAGAGGACCCCACAGAGGAACCAACAGATTTAGGAAAACCATGATGTGGAAGGAAAACATGCCTAGGAGCAATCTGTGGTAGGAACCTCGCGTTCACATAGAAACAGAATATACAGACAATGGGGCAATGGAAACTCATTCTGCAGCCTCGGTACAGAAACCCTTTTTAGTCAAAAGGGCCCCCTGCTCTGTAGCCGAATACATCCTACCAATGGCTTTGTTACGCCTCCACCCAGGCACTAAAATAAAAGTTCCTTCTTTAGCATCTTGAGAAACCAAAAGAATACAATTACAGGGTGGACGTCTGTGATTCAGTTTCTTAAAGAAAACACATTTTTAAGGTTTCATACTGTTTGTTGCCTTTCTTTTAAGAGGAAGGAAATTAAGACTCCCTGGAGCTACATATATAGAGGAAACCAATCTTTAATTTCCAAGAAGTGTTTTATAGAGCTTCTTATTAAAATGTTTTTGGTTAGATGCTTTAGCAATTTGGGAAAAAAATTTTTATAAGTGCTTTTTTAAGGCACAGTTGTTGTTCTTTTGAACCTTTAAAATGTCATCTGTATTCTTTGTTTAGTCTAGTTGAAAAATCAAATAGTACAGAAATGCTAAAGTAAAAAAAAAAGTAGCTCTTCCCCTTGCCCACCTAACCCCACGGTGAAGTCCCATTCCACCCAAACAACTTTAACCGCATCTTCTGGTATTTACTAATATCACGCACACTATTATTTCTTGGTTGATCCTTTCAGACATACCAAAATTACATAAGTTGGTGATGTAGCTCTCTCACCATCACTCAAACTTCTCCTTTATCATTCCCATAATAAGTACATTTAAAATTTTAAAGTCGGCAGTGTTTATTTTATTGTGTTATATAGTATAATTTAAATACTATATTCATATTCCATATTAATTTGATTCACCACTGTATAATAGGACTACCCTCTCATTATTATGCCAGGGAAATTTGTTTTAACTTGTCTTCAACAGCTTCTTATTTTAAAAGTCTGCTTTATTTACTATACTAGAGGCCTGGTGCATGGAAATTCTCACAGCTGTCATCCTGACTTGTGGCTGAGCGAAACTCTCCAGTGGGAGTGCACTGACCACCAGGGGGGCAGCTCCTGCATTAAGCACCTGCCCCCTGGTGGTCAGTGCGTGTCATAGTGACTAGTCGTTTTTGCCTTAGGGTCAATTTGCATATTAATCTTTCATTATATAGGATACCTACTATTAATGTCAAATGCTCTAGTAGACCCATCAAATAATCAACAATAATTTTTCCAGTTGTCAATCAAACCTTTCTCTTTCACATTCCTCTCCAGGCCACTCTTTCTGTTGGATTCCTGATTCCTGAGTGCAAGTTTTTCTTTTTCTTGGTTTTCCTCCCTCCAGGAGCTTTCAAGAAAGGGTGCAAGGCCAGCGAATTTCTATTCTCTTTAATCTGAGAGTACAAAGCAGGTGCCTAGAGTGTTGTATGTTATATGGCGGAGAAGAGCAGAGCAGATGAGAACAGGCCCCGGACTCAGACTGCCTGTGTTTAAGTCCTGATCTCACTTTTTTAAAAAAATTTAAAATATGTATTTTATTGATTTTTTTACAGAGAGAAAGGGAGAGAGATAGAGAGCCAGAAACATCGGTAAGAGAGAAACATTGATCAGCTGCCTCTGCAACCAAAGTACATGCCCTTGACCGGAATCAAACCTGGGATCTTTCAGTCTGCATGCCGATGCTCTATCCACTGAGCCAGACCGGTTTCGGCCTGACCTCACTCTTACCAGCTGGTTTAACTTGAGCAAGCTCCTAACCTAGTTTTCCTATCTATAAATATGTGGATGAAAACGATGCTCACCTTGTGATGCTACTGTGAGGACTAACGGAGATAATGCACTCCAAACTGTGCGTGGTGGGGAGCTGGAACACTCCATGCATTGGTTGTTATGAGTATTTGAATTTTTGTCTCCTTTGGTATATGCGGAATTTTTTTTTTTGCCTTAGTCATATGTCAATGTGACCTGAAATCTTTCCTTCTCAGCATTCCATCTACCCTAAATAGTGTCCAATTAGATCTGATTTTATTCTTCCACAGATCACATGGATGGGATGTCCATAATTTATTTGCTTCATCCTGTCTTTCAGATGCTTAAACAGAGTGCAGAGAGAGCTGGGGCTGAGGGGTCATTGGGTTCCTTCCCTAATACAAATAAAAGGAGTGCACCTGAGGTCTGCTCCCCTGCCTGGTGTAGCATAGGTTCCTGACATCCTTTTTGCTATGTCTTGTGGAGCTTTCTCTAGGTTTGGCTGTAATAATTATTCCCAGCAGATGTGTCCCCTGTCTCCTGTTCCTTGCCCATGTATTGATGCATCAAAGGCAGGAAAGATGGTAAACTTCCTTGACTTTTCTTGCCGAAAGGAAGATGACTTCTTGATGGAAGAAAAGGTTCCCAGTGGAGGTGTGGGTTATTCCCAGTAAGTCTTCCCTCTGGTATCTCTTTATACTAAAAGCCAGAGCCTGAAAAGCAGCGAGGCTTCCCTCCTGGTACTTCTCTGTGTTCTAGACTTTCCTTTGATGAAAATATATATATATATATATATATATATATATATATATATATATTTTTTTTTTTTTTTTAGCACCTTCTTTCAGTTGGTCCAGTTTTTATTTTTTGGATGACACTTCTCAAAGTTTATGGTATAAAGTTGAGATCTCTTTTTGGTTTCCAGGTTGATGACATGTTTTGTATTTTCCCATTTTTGTTAATTTCAGGAAATTTGGGGGGAAGGAATTTTGTGAACCTGCAATTTTATATTTTTAAAATCCTCACCTGAGGATATGCCTTTTTATTGGTTGTATGTGTGTGTG